ACAACATGTGGGTTTTACCGTTCCAAAAGCACGGTATATGACTTCAGGGTAAGCGTAGTGGATGGCTCGGAAATTTCAATCATACGGTGTTCTTAAACGTGCACTGGCATGCGCAGTGCCTCCATCGTTTGGCGCATACATCGAAATGGGACTGCCATGGCTGGGATTGAACCCGCGACCTTCGCATGATGGTTCGAGCACCATAACCACTACACTACAACGAGGAACTAACTGCAAACTTATAAACGACAATAAGCAATATGCAGTTGGCGGAAATACAATCAAATCTGCAGCAAATAAGGAAGTTTCATGAGGGCGACGACACAGACAATGGACGCAGGACGGATTTGCGATTCACCTTCTACAAGCTTGCTACTCAGCCCCACTGATTGGCCTCATAAATTTGGGCCATTGTTTTATCTTCTTTTACTTTTCAATCAACTTTCAGCGACTCCTGCTTTGAGTGCTCTTCGTACTGCAACACGTATCACCATTTTAATGAATTTAGTCCCTTTCTAAAACACACCTCCAGCCCGATTCATATTTAGTGGGAAAAGAAAATCGGACTCAGCGAAATGCCAAGTTCGTATGCGAGAGTGTGAAGCCGTTATTGATGACGAAGCTCTTATTAGTGGAAATTCTCAGAAATTAGAGGGCAAAGGAAGAAATCGTTTTTAAGATCCTCAAGGGTCTTCTAAACCTGACCAAAAGCATGTACAGTCCTTGTAAAGGTTGCCAGGTCCCGCTTCCTTAGAAATACATGGTACAGTGGCCTGGGAACTTCTGACACCTCCATACATACTAACATCTGGTATACTTGGCAAGAAATCAACCATGAGAGCTGTTTCTGCGCTCACAAACATACCTCGTTTTTTTTTTGGGGGGGGGGGGGGGGGCAGGCTATCTAAAGATCGCATGCGTTGATGTTAAGGCGTACAAAATCTTTTCTAATCTGTAGGTTTGTCAAAATTCATCCGACGGTCTTTTGACGATCGACAATTCTTTTCATTCCACTTGTCGGCGATGTCAATATTCTTAATGGTATTTCAATAAACGCTCAACAGACGCTCTTTCTCTGTGTGTCTTTCTTCTTGTGGTGTTCTAGTTGTCTAGAAATTTCCCTGAGTATGACGCACCAACTAGCCCAGCAACACGTATTTCTATGTCTCAATAAGTTCTGACGCCGCTTGCAAGTTCTTTCAATATCAATCGCAAGTTGACGCATTCTTTGGTTGAAATGATGCTGAAATGAGGGTTACGAGTATTCGTAAACAAAGTAAATAAATAAATAACACAATCTATATCAGTTCTGTTACGACGTAGCATAAGGTATCCAACAAAATTGATCAAATTCTAACTATCCGTCAGTGTTATTCTTCGTAACAATGACTAAGCCGGCGGCCATAACAAAGCACGAGAGCTTCATAGATGTCAAACTAACGAGGAAGACCATGCAGCCTGCAGCGTTATATTCTAGGAGAACGAGCAAAGACGTCGCCTTTAAGCCGACTGATTATGGCAGAAAACAGTGGCACCCTAGGAAATGCGTCGTTTTTTCTTTTTTCTCGTGCATATCTTAGAGCTAACCAGGCTTTAACAAAAATACGAAAAGAACAACTTGCCAAGCTCTCGTGACGCGAGAAACACCCATCGTTTCGGAGCGTGCCGAGTTCGCCAACCAAGCGTGGCGAGACCGGAGACTGCAGAAGTTGCGTGACGCAGTTCCGTCGCAGCTTTCTTTCGCAACCCCCCCCCCCTCCTCCTCCTCTTCAGATTTCTGTTGAATAATAGCAGATGTGTGGGCTTCCAAAAGAAGTGTACGCAAAGCTCAGGCCTCATTCGTCATCTCCGAGACAAGCACGCTTTTGTGCGGCGACACAGATGAGATGCAAGACAAACGCAACGTGGATCTATAGCGCAACATGAAGTCTTTATGTTCCTCGTTGTTACAACGTGTGTGGCAACGCGACCGTGTAAAAAGGTGTGCAGTTTTCTTCGGATTCCGGAGTAAAGCTATTACGGTTTCTATTTAGGCATATGTATTCATTAGCACACCTACGTGTCACCAGTGCAGGCATTCAATGAATCCATCAGTCTTTATTCAGTAAACTTAATATAAAAATAGTTGCAAAATTATTTGAACTATTAGCCTGTGTGCTTAGTTACTGGTCCAATCTCTTAAATTAATATTTTATTACATGTCGAGAGCAGAGGTTATGTTAATATGATTATGAATGTTTATACGAATTCAATGACAGGGTAGCTTCAAAGGTATACCATATGTAATTGAATACGCATGACGATAAATACGATGTAACTGCAATATTCTACGCAGACATGCAATAAAGAGCTGAACGCTTACTTTCTACTTTTCTCTCACAAACGATTTCAAGCTAGAACGGTCTTTCTAAATCTATTTCTGAGGAGCCAAATTTTCGAGGGGCTCATAAAAAATTCTTCTCTCAGTCATCGTTCTTCTCTCAGTCATTTATAGAACTATAAATAACCAACTTCCACACTTTACTACCATTCTCTCAAATAACAATGTCACAAGGTTTGCCCTTAACAATAACTTTCTACTGCCAAAAGTCCGCACCAATTATGGCAAACAAACCATTCATTTTTCCGGAATTTCTTTTTGGAATAGTTAACCTTCCAACAATAAAGTATGCCGTTCCCTGAAGGTAATTAAATCGAAGTTAAAAAATCATAACATGTCAACTACCTAGCCTGTTTTGCTGTTTCTTAATTGATTCCTGTTCATTGTGAGTTGCGTTCTGTAATCACTTGTCATTGAAGTTAGCATGTTATTCTTGCTTTTAAATTGATTCTGTGAGATTACAAGGGTATATTCTTACTTTATTTGTTTCAATTGCATTTTACTGTAGCTCTGTCTCCCTGCTATGTACATCACAATCATTCTCAATTCTACATTGTACAAGAGGTCCCCTTGCAGTCTCTGACTATGGGACCTTTTTCTGTATATCATGCACATGTATTCTTCTTCATTTAGCACAATAAAACCTTCTGTTCTGTTCTGTTGTGTTCTGTTCTGTTCTGTTACCTACTACGCAATACATGTTTATTCATGGAGCCCTATTAGATTACTAGTGGTGTTATCGATTTCTAACCACAAGTTTTTTATTCACATTGATTGTTTTTGTTTACTAAGATTTTTCACTTCCTCTCGAGCTTGTTGTCGTGTGCATTATTGTGAAAAAGATCGATAATTTACAGCGTAGAGGTGTAACGACGAATTGACGAAACAAGAAGCAGGCCCCGCATACGTAAATGAGCACAAAATAAGAGACAGAACAACATATCTTTCCAAAAAGCTATGCAGATCACTGGCGTGTTGACTAAAGGCATTGAGAAACATTGGGTGTTCAGCCAAAGAAAGTGTAGGCAATGTAAATGAACTATGTTTTTCAATAAAGAGGGAATAAAATAGAACAACATATGAATAAAACATGAAACTGAGAAACAGTGGCGCAGCCAGGAGGTTGCTCAAGGAGCCCGTGAATCCCCCCTCCCCCCGATTTTTTTTCCATGACACACAGAGCCCAAAATAACACTCCAGCACATCTCCAGTAACATCAGCCAGCCAACAGCGGCGCAACATGCACCCCATACATCTCACAGGATATATGTTTTGAATACACTCTGCCCTGCCACTGCTTAAAATTCAAAAAGTACGCTCCCCCCCCCCCTACCCACCCCTCAAAAAAACTTTCTGCCAATGTTCGTGCAGACAACCCGTTAAGTGACAACACGTTTGCCACTCGATCAAGAGAATCATGCCAATTAATATAAATATAATCTATCTATCTATCTTTATTATATTGACGATTACACTAGAATATTCTATATCACGTTGCGAACAAATATGTTAAACTGCACAAAACTATTCATTGTGTCCTACATAGCGATTGTTTGTCCGTGTGGCGTCTGAGCTTTGTGTCAGCGCAGGGATTTTTTTTAAATAGCATCTCGGCGTCCTTAAACATGTACGGTTGAGAAAATATTCACTTAAATATATAGAAAAAAGAATAGACGTAAGGAGTAGAGTTTGATTAGTTGCCATTTGATCAATATCGTCTCGTCATTGCGTGTACAATAAATTTGTATGTTGCGGCTAGCATGCATGGCACAAATTGACAAGAACCCAGTAGTCAGTGAGCGTAGCGGGAAGTCTGTGGTGCAATCCGCGAGTGCTTCAATCCACCACGCTATGCGTGTACCAACAAGGCATGTCGTCAGCCCAGACTTACAATCGTGTTTCTGAAAACTAGGCGTTCAGCCTTGGAGCCATCCGCCGTCTTTGTAGCTGCCGATCACCTTGATGTTCCTTTCTTTTCTCGTCAAAAGCACCAGTGACAGATTTTTATTATCAGTGCGCACGATGCGAGTAAATTCGTTAAAGGCACCCGTGTTGGCACTGAGAGTTCAAGCTGTGCTCTCATGTGTGAAGACCAAGACTAAATGTCTAGCTGAATAACGAACGAACAGCTGTCGTAATTTCATAGATTGTTGGTATGCCATGCTCCACCAAGCAGCCGGAATTATTGCGAATGCACTTCAAAAAAGATGTGGTTCCCTATCAAACAACTTTTTGTTCTTTTAGTGTCGCTGAAAGTGCATGCTGTCATGCATTCTTCACACCTCTGCGAAATGCCAAACGTGAAAGTTCGAAGGGTGACGTACGTAATAGCAAGCAGCCTGATGTGAGAAGGTGTGCACTGAGGCAGAACAAGGACCAAACAACTCGAAAGAGGCCGCAAATCACTCAGCTGTGCGTTCGGCACAACCGTCAAGCAGATGAGAGTGGAAGGGAAAGGTGGCTGCACAGCGACGTCGAGGAATCACCGCATCCCACAACGCCGCAGTAATGCAGATGCGTGTTCTCGCTACGGACAGTTTGCTTAAGCACATTGCATAGTTATCAGGCCAACCTCTTCGTCCCTCTCGTGGACCCGACGACGGCGTGAAGGAAGGCTTACCTGTCGGCCGGCGCGTCCGTGTCCCCGGGAGACTTCAGCACCGGAGCACGGGGAGACTAAGCGCTCGGGCGCAGATGTAGCCCGTCGGCGATCCAAGATGGCGCAGCATCGATCGGTGCCGCCGCAGCATCCCGTCTCCCGCCGCTCTTGCTCCCCTCCTCTCCCGACCCTCCCAAATCAGCCGTCGGGGGAGGAAAGGGTGCGGAGGTCGAAGCCTCGGTACACAGGCGTCGCATCATTGCTCGGGAGTCCCGTGGAATGAGTGCGAAATGTCTAGCGCACTGTCGTGGTTTCACGGCCTTCTGATCTTTAACAGCGTAATGTATAACGGTGGCTAAATCATGCAGTACAGCACTGCAGATTATCTGGAAAACAGGCGTCTGGCGTCCTGATTGAACCGCTGGAATCAACTCTATCATGTATTAAGCGGAAGAGTGAGTGAGTGAGTGAGTGAGTGAGTGAGTGAGTGAGAGCCATGGTGTCGAGTTTATATAAACGTTACAACACACCGCACTGCAACTCTAGTCGCCGTAGGGGGGACAGAATCCCCTATATGTTAGGCTTCAAAGTAATACAGCATCACTTCCTAGATTTTGCGTCTCAAGACCACGATATGATTATGAGAGGCACTGTAGTGGAGGACTCCGGAAATTTCGACCACCTGGTGTTATCTAACGTGCGGTTTAGGCTTGTCACTCGGGTCACACAAAATACTACACGGGTCATACGTGTAGCGTTTCGCTTGCATCAAAATGGTCATTCGCTCGGAGGATTTCAAGCTGGACGGTTGTGCCCTCGCGATCTCCGACTTCAGCGTAGCTCCCGCCGACTGGTTCGCCCTCCGCGGTCTCCTGATGCCGTGCAGCTCTCGCATTGTGGCACCCCGCCCTTGGACTGCTTCGACCGGATCCCCACTTTCCTATCTCCTTCTTTTTTCCTCTCGTTGGCTGGCGGCTTCTTATCCGTCTATTTTCCTTCTATTCTTTTTATCCCTCCTTCCTTCTCTCTATATCTTTTATTCCCCATATCCCATTCCTCTGCTGACCTGTTGAGGTGTCCTCGTAAGGAGATACAGTTACGGGTCGGCACCTTTCTTTTCTTTTCTTCTGATATAACCACAATCTCTTGCATCAAAATGCGGCCGCAGTCTCTGGGATTCAATCCTACAACCTTTGAGTCAGCATTAGAGTACAATAATCACTAAACCACCACAACCCGTCACTTCAAATCGGTAAAACTAAGCTTGACAGCTAATATATCCTTGGTTGATATGATATGTGGGGTTTACCGTCCAAAAACCACCATATGATTATGAGAGACACCGTAATGGGGGCTCCGGACATTTTGACCACCTGTGGTTCTTTACCGCGCATCCAAATTTCAGCACACAGCCCTACAGCATTTTCGCCTCCATCAAAAATGTGGCCACCACAGCCGCGATTCGATCCCGAGACCTGCGGGTCAGTAGCCGAGTACCTTAGCCACTAGACCACCGCGGCGGGGCATATTCTTGGTAGTAGGCTCAATAATTTGCCGTGAGATTAAACCACAAGATGTGCCCACTTGCTGTCTTTTTTCTCTTCCTTCTCAGTTTTTAAACCATTTATTATGCATCGTGTATCCTCCCGGAGAACGGAATGCGATTTAGTATTCAAAGCACTAATTGCAGAATTTTTCATGTGATAAAAAACTACCAAGAATGATTTATATGTATATACGGTTAACATCATAGCAAGCAATTACAACTAATAAAACTAATGAAACAATAAAATTACGGTGGCTTCAACTACATGGTCTACAGTCCCCTTAAGAATGGGCCATAGGGAACACGTAATTTTAAGCGCTCTAAATAAGACTTTCGCTACGATACACCATCTGCATCGTCGCGTAGTATCCAATCAAGTCCCAGCTCTTACATATCAGGTTCGGTCACTATACGCCCAAAGCCGCGGCTCTCAGATCTCTTATATGCACCGAAGGGTTATTACGTAAGATCTGGAGGTTACCGCACCGTGGAATGAGCTCCTGCATATACGCAGGTGTAGCCTGTGTGTGTATGAGGTTTTGAATGTGTATTGCGTGCTGGAAAGGTGGGATTAGAAACGACTGGCATGCAGGAATGGCCTGGACATAACACAGCTTGTTACAGGGAGTGTGGCAGCTTGGGCTAGTTGGTATGGCATGACGATAATTATAGCGCGAGAACAAAACGACGACACAGGTACAAGAAGGATAATAGTTATAGCGCGAGAACAAAACGATGACACAGAGACAAGAAGGACATGAAGTCCTTCGTGTCCTTCTTGTCTCTGTGTCGTCGTTTTGTTCTCGCGCTAAAACTATCGTCTTGTTACAGGCACTCCAATGGAGGTCAGTGAAATCAAAGCTGGTGGCTCGTGAACTCCAAAACTGTGTTCCGAGCGACAATTGGTGGTATCAGAAGCCAGGCTTCAAAGTTTATTTATTTATTTAGTTAGTTAGTTAGTTAGTTAGTTAGTTAGTTAGTTAGTTAGTTAGTTAGTTAGTTAGTTAGTTAGTTAGTTAGTTAGTTAGTTAGTTAGTTAGTTAGTTAGTTAGTTAGTTAGTTAGTTAGTTAGTTAGTTACCAATTCATTTATTTTCGGAATGATCTGCCATCCCCATACGCAAGCTATTACTCGGTTCGCTCCTGGCATCGCATTGTGGCCAGCGGATCACTGATAGAGCCTGGCGTGCTCCTCCTGGCCAGGTCTCCTTCCCGCTGCGATTGCGCGTAGGTAACCAAGTGACTCAATTCAAAACATTTAGAGCTACACTACCGCATAAGCCTTTGAAAGTGGCTTACATATTGATTCAATGTACACGTTACGGAGCCCTTCGTATATGATGCACCATGAAGACGATATGGCAATGAGTCATCCAGGGAGCCACTGCGAATGGTATAGCTTCAAGTAGAAAACAGTATTTTTGAAAGCGTTACCTTTTTTGAGAATATATACTGTTTCACATTGTTTTTTCCCGCGTACGGAATTTTCGTTGGTTCATTCCATTTCATTACTTTTAAAGGAACACGATGAGCTCTATACCCGCCATGTTCTTAGGCGAAGTTTATCTACCTTTTTTGCCATAACCCTAAGAGTTAAAGTTAATAGTTTACAATCATTGTTGTAATAAGTCATTCTTCTTTTCACTGAAGCATATTTAGCGCTGGAAATCATGACGCTTACTTTCTGTATTTTTTTTTACTTCAGGCATTGAATTATCACTCGGTAATACCTATAAGATGTCGTGTTCAGAAAAGATAACTTCCTCCACAAATATAATTTTGCATCCACATATTGCCTATTACGTTACCTAAATACCGAACAAAATCTATGGTTATAGATACGGTGGTTGTTGAGATATAAAGGAACATAAGTACAAAAAGTATGTTAAGAAATTTATGCAATTAAAGTAAAAAAATGTGCATTATTTCGAAATAAGAACGGAAAAAACATCAAATTGACGGGCCTGTTCATTGGGCACCAGCCAGATACTCATTACTAATATCATTTTTCTTTTGCTTTGATACGTCTTGCCTAGCGAGTCTTTTCTGTCGCCTGCTGTACGGCCCTGTCAGTAAAGTACTGTCGACAAAGGTTAAGGGTGCATATAGGCCCTGCACTGTGCAGTGCCCCTGCGAAATTCCAACGTAGTTTCGAACACTCACATGGGCTACATTGTCGTCATTAAGAGTGAGCACAGCATCAGGAGTGCATCAGGAGTGTTTGGTGTTCGAGGAAAACGTTTTTTGGAGTGCACTCCCACACGACAATTCAACGACTTGTTTGGGTTTTGAGGTTTCCCATAGAGACATTTAACCAATAATTCTGGATGTGGTACATCGGATAATTTGGCTTACAGATTCAATAACAGGTGCTGTAAAGTGTTCTTTATGAACGAGTAGGCTACCATTCAACTGGGCTTCGTTGAATTTACCCCAAGTTTTAGTGTCCTTCGGGCAAAGTCTGTGCGACGAATTGGTATCATTTGACGTCATGTGAAAATATGCGGCCCTGACAGCTTTTCGCATGTCCTACAAGCTGGCTCTATTTCTTTTAATGGCCAAATGATAATAGTTTTGCTGCCTGCCGATGAGGGCACTACTAAAATGTACCTGGCTAGATATAGATTTCCCGACAAAAAGCTTTATGCCTCCATTTTGTTTTGTTTTCGTGCTTCTGGACGCATGGATTCTTTCCTGAATGTACCAAATTCACCCCAAAATAAAAATTGTTACCTTTTCATAAGACTATAATGCTTGAACTGTGATGGATCTTTAGCTACGTAACAATGGGGGCACGGCAGGCCACAGCACAACTTTTGAAATATGTCAGTAAAAAAAACAACTGAGACAAACAAATTCCCAATTGTGGTTTCGAAAGGGCCGCCAATTCCAAATAACACAAAAAGAACAATATAATTGTTCTTTTTAATGGTGTTGCTTACCTGTCCGCTAAAGGAGCTTCAAAAATCATAAGCATTTAATTTACTTTCGTGAAGAACTGATCCTTAAAAAATTGGTAGATACCACGCACAGTGGGAATCAATCTGCGAAGCACGAAAGAGAAAGGTTCATATGTCACTTTAAAATCAGCACAACGTTACGAAATGGAGGTAAATGATGCCGTACATGACTTCCATGTCATGATTATATTGTTCGGATGGTTCGTTTACCTTCGTCATCTATTCACGTCCTGTGATACCAAATTTAGTATATGTGGAGCTAGCGAAACGGCCGCAAACACGCTATGAGCGTGGTATGTTGTCAAGTTCTTACATGACACACGTGTCAGAATTATCATGTTTGCACCAGTCGTATATTTCGTCATCCATTGACGTCACGTAACACCAAATTTGGTATATGTGGAGCTAGCAAAACGGCCACGAGCGTATCATGAAGGGCCCAATATACTCCAATGTAGCGTTGACGTGCGCGCACGGTAGGCACAGCGACGCTGCGTTAGCATAACGCGAGCACTCTACAGTCTGCTGCCATGCAGGCGCGACCGGCGCGACCGGCGTCTGTCGAAGAGGCCCGACGGCAGTCGTCGCGAAATGCGACAGGATGCATTTCGTTCCGATTCGTTACCCGGACAACACCACGTCTCCCTCTTTTTGTGACGGAGGGACACCGGACGCGCTGAAACATGCATGCGTGAAAGCAACGCAACGCGGCGCGCGCCTGGGAGTATATGGCCGGACCGGCGCCTGTCGTGGCAACGACGGCGTTACGCAACAAAATGAACGGCAGTGAGCACGCGCTCAGCGTCACGTCGAAATGTATTGGCGCCTTGACGGTGGCATGTAGTCAAGTTCTCACATGACACGCATCGTATGATTATCATATTTGCACCAGTCACATACCTTCGTCATTCATTGACGTGACGTAATACCAAATTTGGCATACGTGAAGCTAGCGAAACGACCATAAGTGCATCATGAGTGTGGCGTGTAGTCATGTTACATGACACGCATGCGTGATTATTATGTTTGGACGTGTCATTTACCTATGTCGTCAGTTCGCGTCACGTAATACCGAGTTTGGTACATGTGAAGCTAGCGAAACGGCCGCGAGCGCGTCATGAGCGTACCATGTAGTCACGTTGTTACATGACACGCATCTCATGTTTATCATGTTTGCACCAGTCACATACTTTTGTCATCCATTCACGTACCGTAATACCAAATTTAGTATATGGGACGCTAGCGAAACGGCCGCGAGCGCATCATGAGCGTGCCATGTAATCATGTTGTTACATGACACGCATCTCATTATTTCATATTATGGTCTCTCGTTTGTGTTAACCATGCAATCATGTCATACCATACCAGTTTTGCAACACGCCATGTGAACGAAACCACCGCAAGAGCTGCAGGACTATAAAATGTAAATCATGACATTCATGACATACATGTTATGATTTTCATGTTTTCATACAGTCATGTTATGACATACCAAATTTGGTATTGATACCACTATCAAAACGGCCAGGAGAGCTAAACGTCGTAGGTGGATAGATAGATAGATAGATAGATAGATAGATAGATAGATAGATAGATAGATAGATAGATAGATAGATAGATAGATAGATAGATAGATAGATAGATAGATAGATAGATAGATAGATAGATAGATAGATAGATAGATAGATAGATAGATAGATAGATAGATAGATAGATAGATAGATAGATAGATAGATAGATAGATAGATAGATAGATAGATAGATAGATAGATAGATAGATAGATAGATAGATAGATAGATAGATAGATAGATAGATAGATAGATAGATAGATAGATAGATAGATAGATAGATAGATAGATAGATATGCCCAAAGTCGCCGAAATCCCCATAGAAATGCTTCGCATTTAAAACACTTGTTGCTGGGCGCGTTGGTCAGTATACACGCATTTTAATTTTTGAGATAAGACAAAGATATGATAGAAGACAGCGCTTGTCTTGTCTTCTTTGACGGATTCGTCTTTCTAAGGGCGAAAATGGAGGTAATAAGCAATTCATACTTCTTTATTTTATCTTGTCATACGTTAGAACCCCAGCGTAAACAACACGTTGACGCAACATGCGCACAGAGTGTGCTAGATGGACCATGCAACTGCAAAGGCTAACGTTTGCTTCGAGCTCTGTAGAGGTGACGTCGGTGCTCGGCTTGCACAGTACGCGTTATAGGACCAAGTTCATCCGTGATATGCATCAACCCAAGCACTAATGAACAAAAATAACCTTCAGGCTGATAGCTACTTGTATAGAAACGAGGTGGCCGACATCATCTTGCTAGTATTAAATCAACAGTGCGTTAACGCGACATTCATTACCTAACTAGCTTACGCAATAAATATATCACACGAAGACATGTATACAAGCTGGGTTGTTTATTTAGACTTGGAAACTAGAGAACCACTGCCGTAGGTCATAGGTGCTTTCCTCTTCTCAAGTGACAGTTGTCGCGCTACGTACTCCGACTCGCCAGACTTTACCCGCTACAGGCGCTGACATTTATTTTTCCTCATCGACGGTGACGCCTAGAAATCTTCGCTGTCAGTCAAGCCGGTGGTCCTGCTGGTTTCCCAACTCCTGCGCAAGCACAGCATGAATTTGCGGATCAAGATTAACAGACGCTGTGCTTTTACAAAATTGGAAACTCGAGCTAGATGGAGATAGATCATTTTGAATAGTTTGCAGCGCTAAAGGGTCGAGGTCCAAGTATGCAGAAAGTAAAGGCATAAATGTTGAGCACTCAAACTAGAAGGGGAGAAGAATACGGTGAAGCACACACGTTACACTTTTTGTCTCTGTCCGTTTAAGGATATTGTGTTAAAGAACTCCTTTCGCAGAGATTCCAGTGTCGGCGTCGTTGGTTATGAGCGACAAAGGGAGAAAGGTGCGAATAAAAATGAAAATTTGCGGATACGAATGAGGATCGAACTCGAGCCGTTTGCGCGGAAAGCAGGTATTCTATCACACAGCCACGCCTCCACTTGCGTATGCGATGCAACTACAATGCCTAGTTCACACTGAAACATCCGCTTTCTACAGCGACCGAAATTCCCCTGCCGCCGAAACACGGCGTCGTTCGCACTGGACGCGCCCCGCGCCGCCGAATATGCCATCTACTACGGGGCGAACGCGGGATGGATGCGCTGTCACCCGGTTGTTGCCGCGGCACGCAAACGCTACTACGCTATCCGGTGGTTTACACTTCGACGATTCTCGTACGCAAGAAGCAAGAAAAGACAGTACTGCTTACTTTGCTGGCATGTGGCTGTCTTGTAATGCACGAAGAGCAGAAAAACCACCGACGCCAGCGGCGTTGGTGGGTTTGTTTTGCTCTGCAAGACCGCAACAAACTCGGTCACGCCAACAGCAAGCTCGGTCACCTCTTTCACGAAATACGGAGGCGAAGTAGGCACAGAGTAGGTTAGACTCCCGTTGGTTTCAACATTCAGTTACGTGCACTGCGGCATAACAAGTGAGTAGGGCTTGGCCGCCATTTTTCAAAATTCCTTGACTAGCGCTCCCATTGGTCCGCGGTGACCGATTCGGTGGCAGACGCCGCAAAAATCGGTCCGAGAGCGATCGGCGCGAAGAGGGCCCTTTCGGCGGATCTCGCCGCCGCCGAACCGAATTCGGAGCACTTTCGGCGGCCGGAATGCTCAGTCAGAGGTCGCGGGTTCAAATCCCGGCTGCGGCGGCTGCATTTCCGATGGAGGCGGGAATGTCGAGGCCCGTGTGCTCAGATTTGGGTGCACGTTAAAGAACCCCAGGTGGTCAAAATTTCTGGGGCCCTCCACTACGGCGTCTCTCATAATCATATGGTGGTTTTGGGACGTTAAACCCCACAAATCAAATCAACCGGAATGCTCAGTGTGAACGCAGCCTAAAGTGCTTCACAAACGCGTGCGTCCTGTATAGGGGCTTGCCGATGCAACATGTGATATCGCATTAATGTTGCGTGGTACAAGCGTGCATTGCCACCGGACGTCAGAACGTGTGCTTATCATAACGACTTTGGGATGTAAAGCCAGCTTGCCATTACAAAGGACACACGGTACTGCGTGTATTCCCTTGAGACATCGTATAGTGTGTGCATAGTGAGTTCAAAACAGTTTTCGTGGATGCTTACTCGTGGTTTATAGCACGTTGCCCATTACACAATGACGATTGATTGATTTGTAGAGTTTAACGTCCAAAAACCACCATATGATTATGAGAGACGCCGTAGTGGAGGGCTCCGGAAGTTTCGACCACCTGGGGTTCTTTAACGTGCACCCAAATTTGATCACGCTGGCCTACAGCATTTTCGCCCCCGTCGAAAATTCAGCTGCCACTGCTGGGATTCAATCCCGCCACCTTCGGCTCAGCAGCCGAGTGCCTTACCCACTATACCAACAAGGCGGCGCTAGCCATAACACAAAACGCAGCCATATGGCAAAGCTTCACTGAAACAAGTTACGTTCAACTTTATTGATTACATTGTAGTGATCTATAATTTAAACTTCTGCAGTAACATCATACAATAAAGAATATGCACTAAGTGTATATCCCGCGACCTGCGGGTCAGCAGCCGAGTACCTTAGCCACTATACCACCGCGGCGGGGCAATGGTTAAACAATTTTTGGCCACCTCTTCAAGTGTGATTTCCAAGATTGGAATGGAAGAGACTTTGGGACTTAGATCTCCACACTTGCTGAAGAGATGAATGTCAATATCGGTGGGTAGTTTCCTGTTCTGCGGCTTGCTCCCTTTCTAGTTGTACTGTAAAGAAGAAACTCTGATTTGTTGGGAGAACACCGGCGCCCGTGTATTCTAGAAAGCGCTCTGTAGTGTCGACAACTTCGTGGAGAGTGGCTTCGACTTGTCCGTCACTGCCTCTCGCGCACCAAAATGTCATGTCATCCGCGTAGATCGTGTCACCGATGCCCTGAATCTCGGCTAGGTCTTCCGAGAGGTCAACCATAGCACTGTTGAAGAGGAGTGGTGAGAGGACTGGCCGTTGTGAAATGCCCCTTTCACCTAGCTTCACTTTGTTTGCAATTCTTCAACCTTCAGGATGGCGTATTATCTGCTAATGAAAGACCCGTCAAAAGCACTCCACCAAATTCTAGGTCGTGGGTTCAATACTGGATGTGACGGCCACGTAATGCTTGATCGAAGTGGAGAGAAAGAGAGAGAGATAAAAATATTTATTTGTGTAGGCCTAAATGATCGTCCTCGTTTGGTGGAGCCTTTATTTGAGGGCCCCATTGGCTCGCGCCACACCACGGGTCCGCAAGATCAGCCGACGCTGCTCTTGCAGCTCTGAAGTAGAGCAAAAAAAATCTCGTGCATTCATAATTAAATGCACGCTACCTTGAATAACCGCTGGCTCTCAAGCCCAAGGTAAAATCGTGCATAGAAATCTGTCGCACTAATTTCTCATTTCTTGGAGTCTATCCGTTGTTGACTTTTTGTACCACGTGTGACTTGGCCTTGGCCCATCATTTTCTTGTACTTAATTTCAACTAAGATATAGGCCCCTCTTGTTTAGGTTATTATCCACCTTGTTGTCTTCTTTTCTCTCACTGATACGTCCATTATTTTTTACTTCCATCACACTCATTTTATCGCACTGCCGCAGTTTGGTTACTTTGAGGTGAAGGCGAAAACACTCCCAATTGAAGTCTCGGTGGTATCTTTCAGAAAAAAAAAGGAGTTAAAAAGCCTGGATTTATGACTGCTATAAACAGTCGTCTTGTTACGTATGTGCTAAGAAGCTCACCGGCTGTTGTTCGCATAACTGCGTATATACATCTAAAAAGGCACTCACGCTTGAGATTTTGCACACACACACACACACACACACACACACACAAACAAACAAACAAACAAACAAACGTACGAACGAACGGACGTAACTTCCGTTTCACGTGAAAAGTTGGGGTAGCCAGTCTGTGGCAGAAATCGGAAGGAAAACAGCGGTCCGTGATTGGATGAGCCTGAAACACAAAGTAGATATTTCTACCGAGAATCGATGAAGAGCAAAAAGAAAGAACACGTTCTCGCTGTTTTTTGCAATGGACAAGTTACACAAATGCCAAGAACACTATAAAAAGCCCCAAAATGTTCAAGTAAGCCTGTGCTAAGTCACCACTGTGCAATAAAAGAAATAAAACAACAACCAAGAACGCAGCGCTCAAGGGAATGGAAACAAGCATGAACATGAAAAGAACGTTTCAATTCAATGCGAACATTTTATGTGATCCAGGTGGCATGCATTCTGGCGAAACGCACAAACTGCTAACGCACGTTGAGCCATTATTCCGGACTATCTCAGAAAGGCGTGTTCCACATTAATACTGTGCTTTGGGTACATACAACTCTAGAGAAGAATGGCGAGCTGGGCTAGACAGCAGTAGTGAGATAACTGACAGCGCAACATACGGACAGAACGAAGGAAAGGACACAGCGCTGAACTCGCAACTAAGTTTATTTTTGAAAAAAAAAAGAACATATATAAACGTCAATGAGTCGCCAACACTGTGCGCATGCGCGCATAGGTTGCAACACAACATGAGTTATCAGAAAAACAAATACCTTCACTCTTCATTTAGAAAGCATATTTATGAATGGCTTTCGCACTTGTCGTTGAATCTAATAAAAAATGCTTCAGCTATTTTACGCTGGTGATGATCAATATGTTTATATTTGATGGTGGTTTTCTGCAGCTTGGACACACATCCGCATGATCTGCAATGAGCTACCGAATGGGACGTGACAGCAGCACCCGAAAGCGTCAACTCATGCTATCGTAAGCGTACGTTTAAGTAACATCCCATTTGGCCTACGCATTCGTTGCCTCAAGAAAGTGGAGAGAGTAGACTGGCTTAGCCATTATCAAATATAGACGTGTTGATCAGCGCTAGCATGAAATAGCTGGTTTTTTATTAGACCCAACGACAAGTGAAAAAGCCATCCATCAATCACACTTATTGATGAAGAATACAAGTAACTGTAAGAAAAGACCACTCACGTTGCGCTGCAACACACGTGGTCATCTTTGACGACTAATAGTTCTGTATATGTGTTCTTTCTTTTTTGATAAATAAATTTAGTTGCGAGTTCAGTGCTGTGTTTTCTACTGTCTGTTCTTATCTAGTCCGTTGCGCAGTCAATTATTCCACGATCAACTCCAGAGTGCCTCAGAAAATGTTTTTATGCCAGATATTTTTTTTTAGACTGCACTTGCATGTCTTCCACTTACGTGCCTAATACGACACCTTTACTTCGACAGTACAATTTCCATAAAAGAAAGAAAAGTATTGTTTTACAGTTCTATAGCAAGGCGCTCGTCATTGTAGTTCAACACATGTTCGAAACATGAAATCAAATTCATTGCTACCAAACCTGCAACTTGGACAGCGGTTAAAACTTTTCGTCATACTACTTACCGTGATGCAGTACTTTCCTTCCGGTAAACCGTCATACCGGACAACAGCAGAAGACTGCAAGCAAAGGGAAAGGCGATGCTAGAAGGCACCACTGACTTTATGCAGGATACAGACAAATAATCGGTGAACTTGAAAAAAAAATTGGGGGACCCTTATATTTTGTTTTTAAGAGTTGAACGCAATAGCGATACTCTGTGGGTACTTCAACACTTTGTGTGTTAAATCTTTTCGAACTTGCTATGCACCCACTGCGTGGCCTTAAGAGTGCAGTAACGTATGTGCCTTTTGTAGTGGGTAACTGGCTTTAAACTATGAAGTCATTATGATAATTCCGTGTTTCGATGCCCTGTGGCAATGTGCGCTTGTACCACGCACTATTACGGCAATATTTCATGTTGTACTGCGATGCATGTATACACTATGCGTGTATTCGTAAAGCATAGGTGTAAGTTTTACTGCATTTCCCAGCAGAGGAAGGTGTCTTTACTGCATTCACAAGCAGCGGCATGGTTCTGGGATTTAAAAAAAGAACTTTTTGCACTACACACCGGAACACTTCCTGTGAGAACCTTCCTTCAGAAGCGTGGCTTTTATATGCCATGGGGATCTCGCGGTCTATTCTGTAACACGTTTTCACGTAACACGTTAACACGTAATTGACCACGTTTTCCTACACTGTTCGGAAGCGGTATACTTTTAGATGTTTAACAGGGCACAATTAAAAAAAATTTTCCTTTGACCCTGATGCGGTCGAGTACATAGCAATAGAGAATGATGCTAGATTACCTTTTGATTTAATCGTGATGATCGCTTTGCACAGTATGTGGCGCTCTCTAATGGCTGGATTTCACTGTGACACTGACAGGAGACCCACATGGCAGTATTCCAAAGAAAGCGTATTAACGTTTCTCAAGGTATAGTAAGAACAAATGCATGTGTTCCATCATGGTTAGAAAGGTAGCAGCCCTGTTTACGATGAAGGAATTTTTAGGTGCGACGTGCTTTAGCAGTGCTTGACGGTCGTAGTAATTATTCTGCCATGTTTGTTGTGTATTGTAATATTTAACGCATGATCACTTGTGTAAAGTTTAACTGAAAACAAATAAAAAATAAAGTGGCATAGATGTGTGGTATAACACCCGCTTGCCACGGAAACGACCCGGGTTCAATCCCCACTCAGACCCTCTTTTTTATTTATCGTTATTTGCATTTCTTTCAAACTTTGGGTCACATGAAGATAATTTAGAGCTTACAACCAACCACGCCGACACCGAAATTTCTGCAAAACGAGCCCTTTGACGCTATCGCGTTAATATTGTAGCCAATGCTTTGCTGGACAACGCCCCACCGCGGTGGTCTATAGTGGCTAACGTACTCGGCTGCTGACCCGCACGTCGCGGGATCTAATCCCGGCTGCGGCGGCTGCATTTCGTATGCATGTGGAAATGTTGTAGGCCCGTCCGCTCAGATTTGGGTGCACGTTGAAGAACCCCAGGGGGTCGAAATTTCCGGAGCCCTCCACTACGGCGTCTCTCATGATCATATGGTGCTTTTGGGACGTTAAACCCCTCATACCATATTGGTAGACAACACTTCTGTGGAAGTGTGTCCACTACACTCATGAACAATACGTCATACGTGATCCTCTCCTCTCACACAGGATTATACTTTCGCTATTTTTCATCTGATGTCGAGCAGTTTCAGCAACGGATGGGAAGTAGTCGCTGCCATTTCGCCCCTCACCTGTAGCCAACAATATTTAAATTTTGTATATCTATATCATCACGCATCAATAAAACTGCTTAAGCTTAAGGGTCCGACGACTTCAGCTTTCGTGCATTTTGTAACATGCTACACAAAAATTGCAATTGTGTTCAGGTAACAATACAGTATAACATAAGCTATTGGTACAGAACCAAAGCTTCCGAGGCTTCAAGCTTGAAGTAGTTGGTTGATGGTTGCATAAAGAAAGTAAACAGCACAAAAACTTACATAACGAATGACGAAAGAGGCTCGCAGCTTCACTTATTGCGGTTCAGAACCTCAGCTGTTACAGAGTGGGGGCGAAACCTCATCGCCTGCTAACACGTTCAAGTTAAAAAAGAAGGGTAACACAATAATCAATAAACATCATTCCATTTCTACTGTAGATTACAAACGCTACGTACGGCCCACATACTACCTAATATTCTATCTAAATGTGCTTTACTTGAAAGCTGCTCCAATGCTTAAAAAACTAGCATAGCAGGACATGAGACCTCAAGGGTAATTATAAGTTCAACTCATCACCCCGCCACCATCCACCTCCCGGCGATGTACTTGCTGATGACGGTCAGCAAGCTGATATTACGTGAAAACAAGTTATGTTTGCTGACGGCCGGCAAGCTCAACATGCACTCTCTGCAGCGGGTCCTGAAAGACTTTGATTCATGCTAGCGCTATGTATCTTTGGGTTCTGTTGCCGAGATGCTACCCATGCATGCCGACAAGCTATCCAAGCATACCGATCGAGATATGTTGGCAACAGCGCCCATCGGTTTGCGGCTGGCACCAGTCAAAGTAGTTTAGGTCACGCGTCACAGCATTATGTTACGCTTACTGACTACTATACATGAAAGCTTAAACCACGCACCTCAAGGTATTCTCGTCTCCAATCAACCAGGTCCGATGAGGCGGAATATCCGCATTCGCCACCGCGGGAGCTCCACAGGCTGATGTTGTAATGCTTAAACTCGGGAAACACCTCCAGAGTGAACGTCTGTTCTTTTTCGTACTTGTCGGTCACAAACAGAACCAAGACGACCGGAAAGGCAGTCGTCAAGAAGTCACCGTTCATGGTTGTGTCCCAGCCGTTCCCAATGTATGCCACGAATGTGGGAAACTCTGGCTCGCTATCGAGTGTAGTTTGAGGTATACTTCAATATCTAAGACCACCGAGGTAAAAGTCTTCGGATGAGGCTTCACAGCTGAAATAGATCCCAGTACAGTGCTGCATGGAAGACAGCAGCTTCAAGCTGAAACTGCGCACAGGACGACGGGGACAAGCCATCCTACGCATTCGCGGCAACGGGTCCCAGATAAGCACGAGAAATGGGATAGCTACGCTACACTGCATGTCAAGCTAAACTTAACACCGCAGCTTCGACTTTATCGCCGCTGCGGTAAGCGTAAGCATGGACGTGTTATTTGACACTCATGTCTTTAAATATTGTTCCCAGTAGACTACGATAGTCAGCGAACCAAGGCCGTTTGACCACTTCAGCGTATATATATATATATATATATATATATATATATATATATATATATATATATATATATATATATATATATATATATATATATATATATATATATATATATATATATATATATATACCGTCGGTGAGCCGATCCAGGCTTGATGTAGATACCATGAATCATGAACATACGTACGACTGGCTTGTGCAGCAGTGACACCGCGACACGCTTTGTGATGAAATTCATGTACATGAACACACACAAGCACTCAAGGATTATACATTTCACACTAATTGATTGATAAGTGGGCTTTAACGTCCCAAAACCTTCATACGAATATCAGAGACGCCGTAGTATGGAGGGCCCCGGAAATTTTGACCACCTGGGGTTTTTTAACGTGCACCCAAATCTGAGCACATGGGCCTACAACATTTCCGCCTCCATCGGAAATGCAGCTGCCACAGCTGGGATTCGATTTCGTGACCTGCGGGTCAGCAGCCGAGCACTTTAGCCACTAGACCACCGAGACAGGGCATATATTTTGCACTGACTTTTTTTTAAAATTGAGTGTTTAATAGTAATAAGTGGAATTATATAAGTGAGGTCATCACTACGAGCTCTTTTTTAGATGTATTCACTTGCTCCATAAAAAATAACTTGTTAGCATTACAGACAAAACTATCTTCTTTATTTTTTTATATTCGCAGTTATGGTATCATTTGGACATGAACAAAAATGCTTTCATTGTGCCCCTGTTACACACTGAAACAATGTACCCCTATATGCTTGGGGGAATAGTGTTTATGCCCGCATGTTTATATTGTACCATGTTTACACTAAAGCAGTTTGTTTTAGTTCGAAACTTCATGTTTCATAATAAAAATTGGTAACCAATACCTACATTTTGGATCTTATTGGGTGTATATGAATATGCAGTTCAGGTAAAACAAAAATCATGATCGATCGGTATGGAGCGTTTAATGTCCCAAAACCATCATGTGAATATGAGAGACGCCGTAGTGAAAAGCTCCGCTAATTTCGACCACCTAGGGTTCTTTAACGTGCCCCCAAATCTGAGCACAAGGACCTACAACATTTCCGCCTCCATCGGAAATGCAACCGCCGCAGCCAAAATTCGATCCCGTGACCTGCGGTTCAGCAGTCGAGTACCTTAGCCACTAGACCACCACGGCGGGGCAAACAAAAATGAGCACTAACAGCTCTTGATGTCATATGTGTGTATGAGTGCTAGTATGTATGTATATGTATATGAATATGTATATAAATAAGAATTTACATGTGTGTGTGTAAGTGTATTCTGCTTACTTACTATACCTTTCCATATTTGCTTTCCCTTTCGTTCATAGCCCTGAAGAGACTGAGAGTACATGTAAAAATAAAGTAATTATAGTTATGCACTATTTATTATTCAATAATTTTCAATTCCCTATCTAACTAGGTAAATTAGTTAATTATTATTTATGGCTATAAACAACCAACAACAGCCAGATGGGCGTGTATAAACCTTGTCTTTGTGAACTTCAGCTAGCTTGCATCACATCCAAGAACACTTGGCTCTTCATTTCACTGATCACACGAGGGAAAAACTAAGTGCGCCATCTTGGTAATATGTATACGACCAATAAAACAACGTTTCATATACTCTACACATGCATTGTGACTTATTTGCATGTTCGAGTTGGCAATAGACGGGGTATTCGTGGTTACACATATGATGATCCGGAGCTTCGCCCACTCATAATATTTCACTTCGTGGATATGCCTAAATTTTTAAGGGCATAGTCTTTCTTCAAACAGGGGAGTTTATGGCATACCAGTAACAACACTTCAGATGAGTACAACTGTCCGGTGTAAAAAAAATTACTTCTGTGGCACGTACGAATAAAAGAGCATAGACACGATGTAATTAACAGCATTTTGGTTTGTCTGTCTGTTTATCACATGATTGAGACACTTGGCCAACGTTTAAGCGCTTACTGAACGCCCAGCCACCTTGTACCGGCGGCTGCGTTCATAGTTGTGAACACTGTCGGTCAAAAGCAAATATTACGCATATCTGAGGCACAAATTCAATACGTAAGTAATAAGTTGTGTGGTCCTTTACTAGAAAATGCATAGTTACGTAATTCTAAAGAACCTATAGTGTTTCTTACGCAGCGCTGTAAATGTGACGTCATGCACGAAAACGTGGGTGTTTCTTAGGCTGCTCTGACAATGCCACTCTATATAGGCACGAAAAAGTGGTCTGCCGACGACATGGTGCTGCCACATGGCAGTGTCCAGGGTTCTGCAAGCTCATGCTTCTCGGTGGCACTGCGTCCACACTCTTAGAAAAAAGTTAGTAAAAAGGTAGCAACTGCAAGCAAATAGGTGTAACTGCAACGGTTACTACTTTTCTTGGACCGTTACTACCCTTTTGCTACATGTTTACTACCCACATTAGTAAACAGTTAGTAGCTTAAACCGTTACTAACATTTTGCGACCTGTTTACTGCCTACGTTAGTAAACAGATAGTGAATAGAATGAAAGAGGTAGTGATTGCAGCCGTTATTACCTTTCTTCTCCGTTACTACCTTTTTACTACCCGGCTGTTGACTATCTAATTCAAAATAGTGTGCGATTCCGAATACGATGATTTATGAGAGGAATCGTCCAACGTATTATCATTAAACAGAAAAATGACGCAAAAGAGATCCCTAAATCAAGAAAATACATTTTGTTTTAAATTATGCAATTGAGATATGTCCCCGTCATTCTAATATTCTCGAAACGCAAAACTACAATTTAACGAACCATAAGCAAGTGCTACACGCTTTGTAATAGACCATTACAACAAGCTTAATAAAAACAGCCCATATTAACAAGACCGGCGGATCAAAATAACCAGACGGTCACAATCAGCCTCGAGGACGGTCGCAATTAATCCACTGTGGCGTGTCTCGAAACATTATCAGGATGAATGGATGGATGGAAACAACTTTATTTATACGTCCTGTACAGGGTGTAGCCACCTGCCTGGCTAATACCACGTTGGGACTAGGAGGTCAAGCCTCCTAGCCCTGTAATGGGCGTACTGGACAGCCAGGACTTGGGGGATATGGTCGTGAGACTTTATCGTTCCTGTAAACCGTTCCCGGAAAATGCCACGGCCAAGCGACTCAGATTCCCAGAGCATATGATCAAGCGTGCATACTTCTTTCTGACAATCTTTGCAAACAACATCCATATCTTTTATATCGTACCATTCTTTTACCTGTGCCGGTGAGTAAGAAGACTGTGTCTGCAATTGTCTAAGTGTGACCGCTTGTGATCTGTTTACTTTACTGTGAGGGGTGCAAACTCTCTCCTCCCCAGGTAGTAATGTTTAGTAATTTCATTATATGTCATAAGCGTATCCCGTTGTGGATTTTCGAATCCAGCAGAATCAAAGCCACGTGTAAAAGCGTCCCGGTTCGATTCATTTGGATTCATGGGAATGTCATCGAGTGATCCGAGGTGCGAATGGGAACCAATATATGTAATATGTATCAATGGCCTGTTTACTATTAATTATTCGAACTGCTTGTGGTGTGATCCTGCCCCTGCTGAAGGCTCTGATGGCTGGTTTTGAGTCGCTGTATATCTCGGTGTATCGATCATCCATCAGGGCCAACGCGATAGCAACCTGTTCTTCGACTTCCGGTTTGGAAGTGTAAACTGTGGCGCAGTTGGTACACCTGCCCTGGTAGTCAACTACTACCGCGGCGAACGTATTTCGGTCTTTATATGAGGCTGAGTTGACATCCAAACATTATCATTGTTTTGGTGCGTCGAACCCCAAAAACGATTATTACCTTTTAAACGCTGACTTGTCAGCCGTGTGATGCATTAAAATGCACTGAGAATGAGTTGAGTATCTTGTTTTGGCCACCGTACACAATGCCTTTTAGTGGCCATATTATAATAAATAAATATGGCATATAATTTTTTATAAGGAAGGCTGATTAAAGGTCTTGTGCTACGTCTCTAAACACACGTAACCAGGTAGTATAATATAGTGTTTAGTTTCAAATTTGTTATAATTCATCCTGAAACATAAGTGCTTCCCAGAGCCAGACATGCCCCTGCTAAGCAGTGGTTATATATACCCCACGCTTACTTCATACGCAATGTATGCGTAAAAAAATATAGTGGACTGTGTTTCTAGACACGGACGCGTTCAGCCGCAGCATGTCGTGCTCCATTGGAGCGGTTGAAGTGGTCGAGTCGGGCCACGGTAACAGGAACGCTGCAATGAAAATGACGAGTATCGTTTGATTCTGCCTAATCTGCCCAGTGGACGCTCTGTTTTACACACGGTTTTCATGAATGGTAATGTACGAGCAAGGCCTTTTCGAGTGGAAGACTTCAGAGACACGTTGGACCACCTGCGTCTGCTCCCTAAAGTGGTTGCCTCGGGTGCCTACCAGATGAACCACATCTGGGCAGTAACCTTCAGAAGCAAAGAAGGGACCAAAAGACTTCTTGCAAGCAGTGACGTCCCAGTAAAAAGTCGATGTTGTATCGACATTGATCAGGCAAGTAAGAATTCCCACATCAAAGTCCACTTGCTTCTGTACAGCACAGCCGACGAAGACGCAAGTGTCCTACGGCCGTGTCACAGACATTACTCGTGAGCGTTTGCGTGTGAATGGCGTCACGGTAAGGGTCAATAATGAGAACTGTTAATCTGAAGCTAAAAAGCGGCATCACAATTGAGAATGTTTCCCATCAATTGCCAGTTGCTGGTGAA